TGCGCCTCCTCCTCGTGGTTTCCGGTGCTCTACACATTCAGAGAGACTTCTCTAGTAACGAACTATAGAAATGATCCCTGAAAGTATAGTCTTAACGATTGCTACTTTGCCTGTCCAAACTGGACGAAACGGAAGTATATTTTGCTGATGGTGAGTTTTCTTAGCCACTACTCTTCATACATGAATACCAGCATACAGTTCTTAAAAAAAAAAACCTTTCCACACTATAGTTTGACAAGATATTTTGAATATGCGTTGAGTTTTCGAAGAATTTCAGGCTCTCACGTTAATTTTCATACGATCCCCAAACAGCCTATCAGTTGCCAGTTACTTCTAACTCCGCCCCACTTCGACTCAGGTTTGCTTACGTAATGTTGACGGAAAAAAAACTCGCCCGGGCACCCGGAACCATCACTGACACGCCTCGGTTTGGAAGCGACTGGAAGTAGAAGCAAGGAGAAAACGGAAAGGTGGTGGGACTGGGCGCGGTGGCTTTCGCGTGTGATCCCAGCCTTCTGGAAGGCTGAAGCGAAGAAGTGTTTGAGGTCAGGAGTTCCAGACCAAACCAACCTGGAAAACAGTGAGGCTCCTGTCTCCACTAAAAACAGAAAAAACTAGCCGGGATCCTGACGCATGCCTGTATGTATTCTCAGCTGTTTGGGAGCTGAGGATCACCCAGGAGTTTGAGGTTGCTGTGTGCTATGATGATGCCACTTCTCTCTAGCCTGGGCAAGAGAGTGAGACGCTGCCTCAAAGAAGGAAAAGGGAAAGAAAAGTGGATGAAAGTTTGAAGATGAGGTTGCAGTGAGCTATCATCATGCCGCTGCTCTCTAGCCTGGGCAACAGAGTGAGACTGTCTCAAAAAAAGAAAAGGATGGTAAAAGCGACAATTCAAAATCAAACATTATGGATGACATATGTACAGCACACTCTATTTTTAATTTTTATCTTATGATCCAAATTCCAGACATATATTCTTTTTTTTTTTTTGCAGTTTTTTTGGCCGGGCCTGAGTTTGAACCCATCACTGCCAGTATATGAGGCTGGCATCCTACTCCTTTGAGCCACAGGCGCCTCCCAACATATATTCTTTTTTAAAAACTGGGTGTTTTTTTTTTCTCCTGAGACAGAGTCTTGCTTTGTCGCCTTTGTTGTAGTGCCATGTCCTCATAGCTCACAGCAACCTCAAACTTTTAGGCTCAAGCTTAATTCTCTTGCCTGAGCCTCCTGAGTAGGTGAGACTACAGGCACCTGCCACAATGCCCAGCCATTTTCAGAGATGAGGTCTTGCTACGGCTCACGCTGGTCTTGAATTCCTGAGCTCAAGCAATCCACACACCTCAGCCTCCCAAGTACTAAAAAAACTATACTGGTTTCTAGTTACTATTTATTGAAGGCTTCCACATACTGGCATCAACCTAAGTGCTTTACATATGAGAGAAATA